CTCGATCCCAGGACCCTGGGATCATGACCTGAGCCGAAGGCAGACGCTCAACAACTGAGCCACCCAGGCGCCCCGAAGGCAGAAGCTTAACGACTGAGCTACCCAGGCGCCCCTTGAACCAGATTCTTGAAGAGTGGGTCCTGAGGTTGTATAGTTTATAAATGGCTCCCAGATGATATTTTTCTTTTAACTCCTAAATATTTAATTGCCTCCCAGTTAGAATGGCTGTTGTCAGACGGAAGAAAAGTTGAGAAAAGCTTGAGGTCAGTTTTTAAGAGCTTCCCAGTTCATTTGTTCTACTAGCATTTGACAGCTGAGTCATTTCTAAATATATGGCCAACAATTAAATTGTATCCATACAATTTCTGTACAGCAAAGAAATTATTTAATATATTTAAAATAGACCTTTGGAGCAGGGGTGCCTGGCTGGCTCAGTCAGAGTGTGCAACTCTTGATGTCAGGGTTGTGAGTTTGATTCCCATGTTGGGCATAGAGATGGCTTAAAAATAAAATCTTAAAAAGAAAAACCTTTAGGGGGGAAAGTAGCTGTCTTTTTATAATGCCAGTTTTAATGCTGCATATATATAGTAATTGATACTGTCTTAAACTAATAGCTAATATGTTCACCATGTTACCCAGGAAAGAAATTTAATGTTGGTATTTATTGCCTCAAAGATACGTTCCACCTATTTTAAATCCTCTGAGCTTCCATTGAAACACAGCAAAATAAATGCCAAGATACTTCCTTTGATTCTTCTCATAGTTTATTCTCAATCTGAATATTAGATTGGCTTTAAATCTAGTAGGTATATGAGAGTACATGCTGTGGCTTATACATAAAATTGTTGAACTAGAAAAACAGGATGCAACTTTCAGTATAAAATGAAATGTTCTGGGGGCACCTGGGTGGCTCAGTTGGTTAAGCGACTGCCTTCGGCTCAGGTCATGATCCTGGAGTCCCGGGATCGAGTCCCACGTCGGGCTTCCTGCTCAGCGGGGAGTCTGCTTCTCCCTCTGACCCTCCTCCCTCTCATGCTCTCTGTCTCTCATTCTCTCTCTCGCAAAAAAAAAAAAAAATTTAAAATGAAATGTTCTGGGCACTTGGGTGGTTCAGTCAGTTAAGTGTCTGCCTTTAGCTCAGATCATGATCTCAGGGTCTGGGATTGAGCCCCGTATTGGGCTTCCTGCTCAGCGGGGAGTCTGCTTCTGCCTCAGCCCACCCTCCGTGTGTGCTCTCTCTCTTTCTCAAATAAATTTTTTAAAAAATGATTTTTATTATTTTTTTTTTTAGAGAGCGTAAAACAGGGGGAGCTGCAGGGAGAGGGAGAAGCAGGCTCCCTGCTGAGCAGAGAGCCTGACTTGGGGCTTGATCCTAGGACCCTGGGATCATGACCTGAACCAAAGGCAGACGCTTAACCGACTGAGCCACCCAGGCATCAGATGTTCTGCTTTTAAATTGCTGGTATATGATCAGCTATTGGAGTGCAGAAGTGTCTTAGTACTTAAAGATTGTGGGGACCCCTGTGCCATGTTAGAAATTTTCCTGTGACATAAATTGCCTATGACAGCAAGAAACATTTTCAAGTAAATTTTCCATTTAGGGTCATAGGTTCATCATTGAACCTTATATTCTTTTCATGTTCCAGATCATGCGTGATCAAGTTAATTATGACACCCAGAAATAATACAGTAAAAAATTTTAAATGGTTTCAAATTTTCATCTTGATGGGGCATTTTAGCTGTTTAGGTCACTGAAGTTTCGTATATGGTTGATTGTAGTAGGAGCAGAATTAAAGTGAAAGGTTCTCATTTATTCAGTCCGGGAGTATTGCTGTTCATTGCATAAGCATTTCCAGCAGGAATTTCACCTTAACCTAATGTGTCCCTGCAGTCAAATGCAAGGATGATCTTTGCCTCTTGAGATTATATACTGACAGTCTGTTTCTGGGCTGCTTTGTGACCACATTTCCTAGTTAGGCTATAGGGCTGTTTAATGAACTGGAGCTCAAAAAGCAAATAAATCATAGTCTTCTGAACTTCAAAGCTCTGAAACGCAGAAAAATCAGAGCTAAATTGAAGGCTTAACAGATGAAATGAATCTACTTGGACAGAAGACTATTTTGCCAGTTTACATATATAACCAGACGGTTAAAATTCAGTATGTAGAGTAATCATGGAAAATGAACATTTGACTTAAAAATACTATATGTAGAGGTGCGTAGGTGGCTCAGTCGTTTAAGCATCTGACTTGATTTTGGCTGAGGTCGTAATCTCAGGGTGGTGAGATTCAGCGCCCTGCATTGGGCTCTGTGCTGGGCATGGAGCCTGCTTAAGATTCTCTATCTGCCTCTCCCACCCACCCCCCACTCCCTCTTAAAAAAAACAACAACAAAAAACTATATGCAATTCTAGGGGAGACTGTACTTGTTCTAATTTTTAGCTCTCCCTTATGTCAGACTTGGAAAACTACCATATTTACCTTTCAGAAAGTCAGGGAAAGCTGTTGTACACTTATTTTAATATCCAGTTGTTTTGGTACTGATAAGTATGTGTTCAACAATATTTGAATGTCTACAGTGTTCTGGACACTATTCTCAAGACCATGTAAAACATTGGCTATATCTGTTCCTGCATCTGCACTGTGGCATTTACTCTATAGAACTAGAGATGTGGACCCTTTAAGAGCTGTTAAAGGAGCTCTTTGGCCCAGGGAAGAAGACTCATTTGACTTACAGATCCTCTTGATGTGATGCAAGAGGTTTATTCATTTATTTGATAAATCAGATTTCAGAAGTACAAAGTGAAAAGTCTCCCTCCACTCCATACCCAGTTACCTAGCATTAAGATTTTGTAATACCTTCCCAAAGGTATTTCCTTATATGAATGACAGTCGATACAGGTGATGCTTCACACTTGTGTTTTCCCCCTTAATATACAGTATATCTTAGAGGAAATTTTCACTTTAGTATGAATGGAGTTGTCTCATCTTTCTGCTGTTAATAATAAAACTACGCTGTGACTAAACATATTCTGCTGAGCCTATCTGAAGAGTAAATTCCTTGTAGTGGATTATGTGGGGTAAAAAGATTGTGCTTTGTAGGTTTTTTTTTTAAAGATTTTATTTATTTATTTGACAGAGAGTGAGTGAGGGAACACAAGCAGGGGGAGTGCGAGAGGGAGAAGCAGGTCCCTAGCCGAGCAGGGAGCCGGATGTGGGGCTCGATCCCAGGACCCCGGGATCATGACCTGAGCCGGAGGCAGACGCTTAACGACTGAGCCACCCAGGCACACCTGTGCTTTGTAGTTTTGATATATATTGTCAAACTGTACTCCAGAGGTTTTATAACATTTTTTTTCTTCATACTCAGCAGCATATAAGGGTGGTCACAAACTCTGGAAGCAGAGTTGAATTATAAACACTGAATGAACTGTTACTTTTACATAGACCATGTAATGCGTTACATGCATTTAATTTGTCCTTATTAACTGTGCACTAACACAGAATTTCATTGATCTCTGCTCAGGCACTTGCCTCTAAAGTGATTTAGAACTCTGATTTTTTTTTTCCCCCTATTTACACCCAAATTTCCAGATTTTATAGTTCCCCTATAATAAGAATCCCTATTTCTATACATCTTTGTAAACTTGATGCATTTTCTCAACTCTTGTCAATTTGTTTTAAATTTATGTCTCTGTAGTTTTATTTCTCATGATATTTTATCTCTTCTGAGGATGGGATAAACCATGGTATATACAACTTGATCCCCCTCACCATGCCATGTGTGTGTGTAAGTGTGTAAATAATGTGTCTTTAGAGTTTTTCCCAAGCATTATTCTCTTCCTTCCTGTGTAATTCAAATCCGGTATCTATTTAGCAAGAGTTTTTATGACCCTAAGGGGAAGGTGATTATCTTGCTTAATTTAACAGATTTTTATGTATTTGTGCTGTATACAGGCTATGTATTTTCTTTAAGATGTGTTTTACTTGGAGACAGATTCATCTCTATGAAACATGAATTGCAAAATTGCTTATTTTAGCTGCCTTTTCTCCAACTAGTTGGTGACAAAGTTCCTGCTGATATAAGATTAACTTCCATCAAATCTACTACTCTAAGAGTTGACCAGTCCATTCTCACAGGTGAGCATTATACATTGGAAGGTCTCTGAATGTTGAAGTCCTGCTCAGACCCCATGCTGAGTGAGTTGGCTCCTGCCCCTCCTGTCCCTTTTTAGGGTTTTACCTTAATCCTGTCCAAGATAGTTCATTCTTTCTTTTTTTTTTTTTTTTTTTAAAGATTTTATTTATTTATTTGAC